TGGCGCACGCCTGTCATCCCAGTGACTTGGGAGGCTGAGGCAGGAGCTGGTTATGGGGGAGGATTGAGAGTTCAAAGCCAGCCTCAGCAACTCAGCAACCCTGTCTCTAAATAAAATACAAAATAGGGCTAGGGATGTGGCTCAGAGGTTAAGTGCCCCCGGGTTCAAACCCTGGTACCAAAAAAAAAAAAAAAAAAATCTAAATTCTCAACTTTTCTAAAGTAGAAAAGGATGGTCTGGCGCGCCCTGGCTGCCTCTGCGCATGCTCACCAGGAGCCCCTCCCCCGCCCTCAGGGGACTGGCACTGGCTGCGCTCTCCCGTTGGCCACAGTCCCCACCTCTGGGTCCTGGAGAATGGCCTTGGCAGCCCGTCTAACTCCCCACCCGGTGTCTCTGTTATGTCCCCAGCATGTCCCCAGCGCCAGAAACTGCTCAGTGAAGAAAGTGCCTAATTAGTCACTAATTAATTTATAGTTTTTAAACAAAAGCATCTCCAGTGATGACAGAGATACTGTAATGGTTAGGAGCAGGCATTGAGAGAGAGAGAGAGAGAGAGAGAGAGAGAGAGAGAGAGAGAGAGAGGTCAGACTGGATTCAAGTCCAGCTTGGCTGTGTGGCCTCAGACAGCTTGCTCAGTCTCTCTGGGCAGGTCATAAGGATGCTTTGAAATCAACTACCTGGTGGGCAGGAGATGTGCACCCCAAGGCCACTCCCTCCCCTTGGGTTCATCGAGGGGAATCCAGGTCTTTCCAAACCTAGTAATGGTCAGCTGGCCCAGGATCCCGCTGTCTGCTGGACCAGGGGCAGCAGTTTGGTGTAGTCATGAAGAGCCCTGGGTTAGATGGCAAAGCCCAGGGTCCGACTCCCTGCCGCACGGTTGAGGAGAACTGGCTGGTTCAACTCCAGCTCTCCCTCCGCTTCCGCCCAACCTTCCTGAATTGAAGAAGCTAAACTCCTGGATTCCTTTGAGCCAGGGTCTGGTGCTCTTCCAGCTGCCAGGCAGCTGCAGTCACTGGAGACCGGCATTTGCTACTAAGTGAGAAGAAGGATGGGGGTCAGGCAGCGGGCATCGGCCCTGCCTGTGGGACCGCAGCAGAGGTGTCCCCTACAATGGGAATCAGACCCGCCCATTGTGGGAGGAGCTTGGGGAGTTCCGCCCAGGGGAGTCGAAGGCCACCTGATGAGGCTCAGCCGCAGGTCCAGCCACTGGGGCCTGGGATTCTGCAGCCTCGGGGCAGCAGGACTGGGAGACCTGGACACAGCCTGGGGAGCCTGCTGCCAGCTCTGCAGCTGAGGACTGTCACCAGATCTAATCACAGCCACCAGAGGCCGCTGCCTCCCTTCCACCTTGGAAGCCTCCACCCTAACCCTAACCCTAACCCTAACCCTAACCCTAACCCGACGGGGCGGCACTGCAGGAGGGAGACCCTGGGGCTCCCACCAGCCTCGCGACAGTGCTGACCCGACATCAGTGCCTCCCCTGCCCCTGGCTGCGTGGATCCTGCTCCCTACAACCGACCAGAGACCTCAGGGCCCGCAGGGCAGCCGTCACGGCTCTGTCAACGCGAGTCCTCTGGCTGGCACAGCTTCCACCAACGGAGGTCGCAGAGCAGAAGCGGGATCTCACCTTCCCAGCGTCCTCGACGTCAGAAAGTGCACAGTACAATGACCAAACTGGCAAATGTTTATGTTTTATCACAATTTCAATTAATAATGTAAAATGCCTCCCTATCAGCCGGGCGCGGTGGCACTGGCCTGTCATCCCAGTGGCTCAGGGGGCTGAGGCAGGAGGATCATGAGTTCAAAGCCAGCCTCAACAACAGCGAGGCGCTGAGCAACTCAGTGAGACCCTGTCTCTAAATAAAATACCAAATAGGGCTGGGGAGGTGGCCCAGTGGTCAGTGCCCCTGAGCTCAACCCCCTGTACCCCCCACTGATGCCTCCATGTCATTTTATAATTTAAATGAGTGAATGAAACACAATAAAATGTTTAGAAAAACAAGCCACCCCGGTGCCAGCTTCCTGCCCTCTTTGGGGCACAAGGGCCCACCACATTCCCCCGGCAGCCCGCACCCTCCCGCTGCGCCCTCACCCACACCCCACCCCAATTCCTCCTCCCCCGTCTCACGGGCCTGCCTTTGCTTCCTGAGAAATGTGGGGGCCCACCTCAGGGCTTGTAGGTTGTTTTTCTTTCCACCTGGAGGCTCTTCAGCCAGGTCAGTGGCTCTCAACCCTCGCTGCCCCTCAGGGTCATCGGAGCAGATCTCAGAAGGCCCCCGTCAAAAGACACCGTGAAAAGGCCGATGTCCTTGGGTGGTTTCTTCCCAGGGAGAATTCTGGCTCAATGGAGACCAAGAGGGCACCTGTTTTGTGCTCCACCGTGTCCCAGTGCTCGCCTCAATAAGCAGCTGTGGCCAGAATCCAGGAGTCCCATCACTCGGTTCTGTGGCTGCAGTTCCACAAGTGGCCACCAGGTGGCAAGCGTCAACTACATTAAAAAGTCAGCTCTAGACTCTCTGGTCTGGGGGTCCCAGCGGGTCCCTAGGAGGGATGTGACCCAGCAAGGTCCCAGCAGCCTCTTCCGGGCTCACCATACCCCATCACGTCTTCACAGAGTGAGACGTTAGGTGGGCCCAGATGAAAGTTACAGCACCTCCAGCCCTGCCCCCTCTCTACCACGCACTGACCCTCTGGTGCAGCTGCCCGGGGCCAGACTCCATGGTACCCCCCCTGTGACACAGGCTCCTGCTGCGGGTCTGGTGCACACGCCACCATCAAAGAACCGCAGATGCTCTGGAACTGTACCAACCAGGAACCACAGCCAAGGTTTTAGATAAAAGGGCAGGACAGACACTACCTTTTGTAAGAGAGGGGAAAGATGTCTGCATTTGTTGGAAATCGCCAACCCAGGGACATGCAGGAAGGACACTGAAGGGAGCCGGCTGGAATGGAAGGGCTTGATACTGTGGGCCCTTGTGTTTCTTGAACTTTTAGTCATGCGACAGAAGGAGCTAGAACAATAAATCGTAAAACTAAAATTCACTGTGCCAGCCATGGACAGGTGCGCCAGGCCCAGAGTACAGAAGCCCAGAGGCAAAAGGCTTGGCCCGCTGGGGCTGAGACAGTGGGGGACAGCGCCTCATCTCTTGTCCCCTGGGCCCCTTGGCCCTACGGGCTCCAGCCCACCCCCCCTTCCTGACCTTAAGGATGAGGCGACAGAGAAGGGGCACGTGGGCAACCGTAACAGGAAACTCACAGTTTCTGAATTTTGATTCTGCACTTTGGTCACTTCCTTGGGCCTGCTTCCACAGCAGCTAGGCGGAGGGGGCAGGGACTACACTCTCAGGGTGGCTCACAGCCAAGCATCAAGGGGAAAATCACAGCCCACTCTGTGTGTTACAGACCCCGACCAGAGCATGGTGTCTCCAAACCATCACTCCAACACAGCCTTCTTGCTGTCCATCAAGCCCATGAAGCTCACAGGTGCCCCGGTCCCTTTGCACTTCCTGGTCCCTCGGTCTGGACCATTTCCTCACCTCCGTGATCTCCCACAGCCAGCTCTTCATTCAGGTCTTAGCTCAAACATCCCCTCTGCAGAGAGGAGGCCGGATGGTTGCAACTGGGCAGTCACCTGTGCCTCTTGGTCCTCCTCTACACCACCCCCCTTGTCTCCCTGACAATACCAGCCCATTCTCTGCTTTTTCAGGGCCCATAAGTAGAAAATGCTCCCATTTTTAGGTGGTTGGGGAAAAAATATTTTGCAATAAACTGAAACTCAAATGTCGGTCTATGGCACTTTATGGTTTTTGCCACGTCCACTTATAGTCCCCTTTTGCTGCTTTGGCCACAAAGCCTGACACGCTGACCCTTGGTGGACTTGAGGATCCTGCCTGCATAGATTCACTCTGTTACCTTCCTGCGAGCCCAAGGGAGGAGGAGCCCACAGGCCCCTGGTCCCTACTCTCCTCTACTCCAGTTGCTGAAATCCCAGCACCTAGCAGGTCCCCTGGGAATTGCTGCCCCACGACTGGATGACTGGTTGTCACCCCAAGGGAATGCAAGCTTGGCAAGGGTGGGGACATCCCACCTCCCATCCCAGTGCCGGGGCAGTGCACACATTTGCAGACCACTCAGGAACTGACACGGCACGCACCTTCAAACGGGGGCCTTGGCAGGAGGGTTGCTGGGCTGGAGATCTGGGGACCACTGGCCAGAGCAAACACGGACCCTGCTGCCCAGAAGACCAAGTAGCCTCAGGCTCTCCAGGCTGCTGCCCTCTCCCAGGCTTGGAGCACCAAGGCCAGCACAGCCCACGGACATCCAGGTGGCTCAGGTCTCCAAGGCCACAGAAGTCATCCCTGCTGCCCCACGCCTTCCTGCAACACCCCGGTGCTAGCAAGGGCCACTGGTGTCAGGTGCCTCCCTGTGGGGGATGCTGGCCTCTCAGGGCCCCTCCTCCTGTGTTTGGCTGCAAACATGGACAGCCATCCCCACCATCGGGAAAACTGCAAATTCGAGGACGACCAAGCCATTTTGCCAAAACAGTTTAATTTTAAAAAAAAAAAAGTGAAGAATCTAAAAAACCTGGGAGGGAGGAGGGAAGGGGGGAGGGAGAGAGGGAAAGAGAGAAGGGAGGAGGGAGGGAAGGGGAAAGAGGGAGGGAGAAGAGGGAAGGAGGGAAGGAGGGAAGGGGGAGGGAGGGAAGGGGAGAGAGGGAGAGAGAAGAGGGAAGGAGGGAAGGGGGGAGGGAGGGAGGGAAGGAGGGAGGGAGGGAGGGAGGGAGGGAGGGAAGGAGGGGAGGAGGGAGGGAGGGGAGGAGGGAGGGAGGGAAGGAGGAGAGGAGGGAGGGAGGGAGGGAGGGAAGGAGGAGAGGAGGGAGGGAGGGAGGGAGGGAAGGAGGAGAGGAGGGAGGGAGGGAGGGAGGGAAGGAGGGGAGGAGGGAGGGAGGGAGGGAAGGAGGGAGGGAAGGAACCCAAGACCACACCGTGCGACTCCACGGGCTCAGTCACAAAGAAACACCATCTTCAAAAAAGATATTTAAGTTTAATACAAATTTTATACAAAGAAAATGTGAAAAAATACTTCCATATGCTAAAAGCAATTATGCTTCACAAATAAGGCCAGCTAGGCTATTTTTTTTTTTTTTGACAACTGCAATTCACAAATGTTCTTTCTCTCCTGCTTTCTTCTAATATCTGTTCTTCTTTCTTCTCTAATGTGGGTGGCTAGCTGGAAACCGTACAGCCAGCATCCTCTTATCAACAATGAAGAGAAAGTAAACGAGACTAAAATGTACAACAGAATGTACTGGAATGATATCGTACAATTAATATTCTCATATACATACATCACCTTTTGCTTTGATCAATGCTTTTTGTTTTACACAACATACAAAATGGTACTACAGCTTACGTAGTGTAACAGACAGCATGACGGTCTTGCTTTCTCATACTGCCACTGTTTCATGCTTACATAAAAACGCAGAGCTCCATCMTATAAATAATACACACATGCTTCCTCCGACGCACGCTCCTCGGTGTGCATCTGCCTTTGAGTTCCTGTTCTAGAAGCACAGCATCTCCTCCCGTGGGTGTGTGAGTGTCCAAAGGAACCACAAACAAGAAAAGGTTTCTCTTTGCTGCCGAGTTGGTGACGAGCTGGGCAGGGCTCACTAGCCTCCGAGCATCTTCTGTAAACAGGATGTTGATTTTCCCTTTTAGGAGCCACCACTTAAGCCACACAGAATAAACGGCCCTCCCCCATGGCTCCTGGCCGGCAGAGCCTGCGTGGCAGGACACAGTGACGTAGGCATCCGCAAGGGGCCACCGGCCTGGCGTGCCGGGTCCCCACGGCAGAGCCTGGGCTGGAGCTCCTGACCCCCACCAACGTGCTGTGGACAGACACAGGACAACGCTGGCTTCCCCAGGGGCCGAGGGTGAGGCCCGGCCCAGGACCGCTGCGCCCACCAGGCCCGGCCCAGGACCGCTGCGCCCACCAGGCCCGGCCCAGGACCGCTGCGCCCACCAGGCCCGGCCCAGGACCGCTGCGCCCACCAGGCCCGGCCCAGGACCGCTGCGCCCACCAGGCCCGGCCCAGGACCGCTGCGCCCACCAGGCCCGGCCCAGGACCGCTGCGCCCACCAGGCCCGGCCCAGGAGCGCGTGCCCCGAGGGCGGGCTGCCCGTCCGTCCGCCTGCGCAGCCAACATTCCTTTCGTTGTTGGGTGTTTTTTTTTTTAAACTTGTTTTTCTTTTTTTATAAGTTAAAGTCGATACAAATATAAAAAGGGAAGGTGCTCTAGTTCAGTGACATCCACAAATTGTACATTATTTACACCTACAGCAGCGGTCCCCTCCCGCGGGCGCTCGGCCAGGGCCTGGACGCGGCCGCGTGGGGGCTGCCCGCGGCCCTCCCGAGCCTGCAGGGGTCCTTCTCCGTCTCCGCCGTTTCCTATTTTCCGGGTGTCCGCGGTCCTGCCCCGTGGGACGGGCGGTCTGGTCACAGCTTGCCCCTAGTCCCAGAAGGCGTCGAGCCGAGACTCTTTCGGGATGAGGCTCTTGGCGCTGGAGCCGGCGCCGAGCTCGGAGCGGGCCGACCCTCGCTTCTCTTCGCCGCCGCCCCAGCAGCTGGACTTGCTACTCCGGGAGTGGTCTGCGGGGGGAAGGCACCGGTCAGCACCCCTGCCCGCTCCGCCGGCCACGCGCTCTCCTAGCCTCTCCTAGCCTCTCCTCCCCACCCCCTACGATGGACGGCCCAGATCCCGCCACGTCCATCTCCCCCCATCTGTGGCTCTCTAGAATACAGAGGTGGAACTTAGGACCTCTAGCTTAGGATTTTTAGGACTTAACACAGCTGGCTGCAAAATCAGTAGGGTGTCAAGGATGAAGATCACTGGGTCAGGGCTCAGTCGCCCAGGAAGGATTTCCTGAGTCAGACCCGGGCACCCCTGCGTCCGTCCAGGCTCAGCCAGGGAGGCAGGCCCTGGAGACTGGCAGGCAGTGTGCTTCCACCCACTGCGGTCCTCGAACCAATCTAGAGGCAACTGGAAAAATAAGACCCAGGACCAAATCACAAGTGTCCACCCAAGGGGGAGGATCATAAAAAAAAGGACAACTGTGGACCAGAGGGCTAAGCCCACCTGGACGCACAGGCCCAATGGGGGATCTAATAAGGATGCAGAACCAGAGCGAGACCTAGGATGGCTTCAAGGACACACAGACACAGCACTAGGAAGGAAGCTGAGTGACAAGCGGTGACAGAAGAGTCAGAGAGCAGCCAGTGACGGCCCTCCTCCAGCAGTCCAGCTCTGCAGGCTCCGCGGCCAGCAGCCAGCTCCCGCGTGCCTCGGGTCACTTACCAAGTTCCTACGTTCAGACAGATTTTTTTTTAAGCATTTTTGAGGTGAGGGGAGGACACTGGGCTGGAAGGGGTCGTGGATCAAGCTTAGAGGCAGAATCTGATGGCTGAGGAAGGGACCCTGCTATTACCTAACGGGGCTGCAACTCTTAGTGCCTAGCAAGAGGCACGTGAGGTAAGTCGGAGCTGTTTCTGGAAGACTCGGGGCAAGAGGGTCGGATGGCAGGCGGGTGTCACCAGGAGAGAACTTATTGGCAACTCATGTGGCCGGCCAGAAGGGGGCAGTGTTGTGGCGGGCAGAAACGGGGCTGGGGGTGGGGCCTTGATCTTCCGGCCCCTCCCACTAGGCTTCCCTGCCCTTGGAGCTCTTCTGGAGCGTCCCTAGGGGGTGCCGCTGCTGGTCATCACTACACATGAAAAAAATCCCACAAGGCAGTCACCCTTGCGGCTCTGGTGACAACTGGGACCAGCTGGGGTCCTGGAAGACCCGGGGCAGGGGGCCGGGCGCAGCATGGCCACACGGCGGAGGGGGCGGAGGGAGCTGGGGCGCGGTGGATGCGTCCCACCGGCCGCGGAGAGCTGGTGTCTTGGGATCAGATGGAGGCTGACCCTCCAGAAGCCCAGCCCAGCCGGCTCTCACCCTGAAGCAGAGGCCAGTGGCCACGAGAGGTACCACTAAGAAGAAAGTTGCAGAGCGAGGGGAGCCCACGCGACAGGACAGGAGGACACGGCCACAGGAAAACATGGACACACACAGGACAAGGCTTGGAGAGCTGAGCTGGCCGCAGCCGGACAGGGTCATACTTACACTTCTGGGCGGGGTAGTTGGGGTGCGGCTGGTGGTCTGTGGTGGTTGGGGTGGAGGCAGGCTGCTTGTCACACCTTTTGCTAACTGAAGAGATACCAAGGCAGCTCAGAGTCGGTCTCCGCCGGTTCGGCACAACCCCGAGGGCGCTAGCTGCGGAACCCCCTGGCTCCTGTGCTCCCACCCAGGCCACTGCGGGCCACTGCGGCGTTCAAACACGTGATCAAACCCCAAGAGGACCACTGCACACAGCACACGCCACAGGCGGGCGACAAGGCGCAGGTAACAGAAAGCCACCGGCACTTGATAAGCCCCAGGCTGTCCAGATTTTGAAAGCCAAATCCTCAAAACCACCTGCTCTGCTAACAGCCTAATCCAGCAAGAAGACAGGCAGGCGCTGGACGCCAGGGGAGGAAGGTAGCATCCGGGTCAGTGAAGACAGTGGTGACCCGGCCAGGGAGGGATGGAGGGCGCTGGAGAAGCTGGGGGCAGGGGGCAGGGTTGCAGAGGGGCGAGGCCACTCCTCGCCCACAAATCAAACCTGCAGCTGAAAGAGGCGAAGAGTGGAAGAAAAGGGTCTCAGGGAAACAGCTGGCGTGGTCAGGAGTTTGGTGGAAAAAACTGAAAATAAGATGGGGGGGAGGCCTCCAGGGGCAAGGAAGCCTGAGAAGGAAACGGACCACAGCAGACCAGGGACTCCGCGATGACCCCACCACCCCAGACCTGCAGGTGGCCACTGTCCCTCAGCTTTGCAGACTCAGATGGACAAAAGGAGACTTGACCACGGTTACAGAGCAGATGCTCCGGTCCCCGAAAGGGTACGGGAAGGAGGGGGAAGGAGATGGGGGTCAAGTGGGGTCAGTGGACRGTGCCTCCAGCGGCAGCAYAAGAARAGGGGGTGCTGAGGACATGGCCTGCAGGGTAGCCCCCAAGTAGTAGCCCAAGTGACACTGGAGGAGGACCTCACCCTTGCCTTTTGTCTAAAAATCAAATCAAGAAATGGAGGTACAGGAGAGGATGCTAATAAGAACCAGAACCAGCAGGAGACGGCTGGGGAGAGACCCCTGCTCTAGTTCCTATTCCCCTCTGTCGGCCCGAGCAGCTGCTTTAGATAAAATCTTTTTTTTTTTTTTTTTTGTATTGAGAGACATGGTCTCACTAAGTTGCTGAAGCTGTCCTTGAACTTGTGATCCTCCTGCCTCATCCTTCCAAGTCACTGGGATTACAGGCCTACGCCAGTGAAGTCTTAAAAGATGAACAGGAGAGGGGCTGGGGTCTGGGGCTCAGTGGTAGAGCGCTCGCCTAGCATGCGTGAGGCACTGGGTTCGATCCTCAGCACCACATACAAATCACTGTGTCCACCTACAACTAAAAAACATACATTTAAACAAAAGAAAAAGATGAACAGGGGAGGCCTATGCCACCTACCAAGGGAACTTACGCCCCTATTTAAACCTCTCCTTCCACACGGACTCCTCAGTCCCCCCGGCACAGGTACTGGAGAGAGCTCAGGTGCCCCCTGCACGGTCCACCTCCTGCACATCTCCCATGCACTGACCAGCTAGCCAATGGGTGAGGGGGCTGGAGATGAGAGTCCTGCTGCTCTGATACAACTCCTCAGCACACGTGGCTTTGGGAAGAAATGAGCGCACTCAGGTCTGCAATCCCACAGGGCCACGGCCCATGGCCCTGCTGCTCAGCACGCAGATGTCACCAGTGCCCTGGCGCCAAGTACTCCTGTCCTTCCATTTTGACGATGAACCCTCTGGTTGGTACTCCTCCTCGGCCAAAATACTTTTATTTTAAATTTTAAAATTAAAAAAAAATTGGGGGGTGCGGGTGTTGGTGGGGCTGGGGACAGTACCCAGGTCCTCATGCATACAGGGCAAGTGCTCCACAGCGGAACCACACCCCAGCCCTGCTGCCCTTGCCCAGTCTCTTTCCAAGCYGTAAAACGGGGGACCACATCTCCTTCAGTGTAGTCCCAATCTTCACAAAAACACACCTGGGGGAAGGCCCCTTTAGACATGGAAGTCCTATGAGCCACACCCCCAGCCCTTTTCTATTTTGAGACCAGGTCTCACTAAATTGCTTAGGGCCTTGCTAAATTTTGAAGCTGGCCTTGAACTTGTGATCCTCCTGCCTCAGCCTCCCGAGTTGCTGGGATTCACAGGTGTGGATCACTGTACCTGGCAGAGCTACTGTTAAGTCAACTAAAGTAAATRTGAAACTCCACTCCTAGTCACAGCTTGAGGGTTCCACAGCCACAGGGATTAGTGGCCCCCAGCGTGCACAGTGCAGATATAAGACACGGCCTTCAGGGTACAACATTCCATCGGCAACGCGGGCGGTGGAGGAGGGAGCACGGAGAGAGAGAGAAGCGTATTAAACACCTAGGGAAGGGGGCAGCCGAGCGGAGAATCTGGCTGTGACAAAAGGAAGCAAGAGGCGGTCAGACGCTGCAGGTGGCCAGGAGGGAAAGGCAGAGCGTGTCCCCATGTCACACGGAGGGCAGCAGGAAGGACAGGTGGAGTCTGAGAGGGAGCAGGGAAGGACGTGGCCTGTGCAGGGCGGAAGGGGGGCTGATGGAAGGGGTTTGGAGGGAGGATGAGGGGGATGAGGAGCTGTGCTTCTGAGGCCAGCGATCAAGATTAAACGGGCCACGGGACAGATCTGTGGTCCCGGGGAACTTCCTCCAGCTGCGCCGAGGCTCGGGTGCAGGTGAGGAGTCACGATGCCTCGCTGAGAAAACAGAAAGGCCCGGGCGCCCGGGGCCTCTGAGCAAGACTGCGGCCCAGCGCTGGGCCCGGACACCAAGCCACGCAGGCCACGTAGGAAGGAGGAGCAGGGAGCGGGAGGAGGCGCACACCAAGACCAGGGCCACGTCTGCTGTCCCTGTGACTGAGCCCCACGCGCACGACACTACCACTTCTGACTTCCAACAGCAGTGCTTTGGTCTGGGGTCACCGGAGTCCTGGCTCGGCAAACACTCTCCAAGTGACTCGGGCCTCTGGGTCRGCTTCTCTGGGCCTTGCAGGACATAGTGACTTCTCCCCCAGGCACTGGGCGTGGCCAGGAGTGCAAGTGCCCCCTGTCCTTCGGGAAGCACCAGTGAGCACTCCTCTGCCACCCTCGACGCGCCAGAAGGGGCTTTACCTGCCCAGCTCAGGTCCCCCACCCGCAGCAGCCACAGGCTCCCAAGTGACCTTCCTTTCACTTCCCCAGACCCCACGATGCTTCAGGCCCRGCATAGCCCAACGCCTGCTTCTGCACTTCCAAACTCATTAGCACACACCCWCACACCCTCACACACCCTCACATGGGTTCTGTGTCATCTCAGGCCTGCTTTCCTGCTACCACGGCTGAGCGAAGCAAATGAACAGAGACCACGGAGCCTGCAAGCCTGCATTTACTCTCTGACCACCTACAAAAAGGCCCTCCAGCCCTGACCACTCTCTCCTGGCCACCATGCCACATGCAATCCTTATTCTGGCAGATCCCACACACACAGCATCACGAGTCTTCCCGGGCCACCTCCGTCCAGCACCTCACAGCTGCAGAACCTCTGAACGGCACGGGCTGTGGGCAGCAGCACTCTCCAGCCTGGCCCTCCTCATGCTGCCCCCTCGCTCTGACACACCCACAGTCCCCTCACAGGCTGCTCAGTTCCTGTTTTAAGCTCTTTTTTTTCAACTTCGATGCCAAAAGAAGCTTTTATCATTGCAACTCGTTCAAATTACCGTCATGAATGCCAAGCTGCAGGGCGATATTCTGGGGCTACCACGCCACTAGACCTGAAGTCGCTCTGGCTCTGTTCTGAACCGATCTGAGATGCCATGGCGTCTTAGTGCCACGCTGTGCCGTGACTGAAGGTTCCCTCTGGGGACCACAAGGGAGCATGAAGGGCGGTGTGCTTTTTTTTTTTTTTAATATTTTTTAGTTGTCGATGGGCCTTTATTTGTTTATACGCAGTGCTGAGAATCGAACCCAGGGCCTCACACATGCCAGGCTAGCATTCTACCACTGAGCCACGCGATCCCAGCCCGAGGGCGGTGCTTTTGTGACGGCACTTCAATCAAATCCAAGGCCAAGTTCACATCCTGCCTAGACTCACTCCGGCCACTCCACCATCTCCACCATCCGGTTCCCACCGGCCCTTCCAGGCCTGGCCTCTGGGGAACCTACCCCACCTGACCACAGACACTGCTTCCTCTAAGCKCTCGGTGTGCACAAGTGACATGACGTTTTTGGTCTCCAGCTGAAGAGAACCAGCAAGCAGAATGGCCCTGGGTGAAAGGTTAGAGGCAAGAACCCTGAACTCAGCAAGACGGTCCTCAACAAGCCAGGCCTGGGTCTGAGCCCACCTGCAGTGGCCAGAACCGGTTTAGGAAAGTGCGGGGAAAAGACCACGGGGCTGAGAAAGAAGGGCGGCCCGAACCCCAGGAAAGAAATCCACACGTCTCAGGAAAGTCCCCAAACAGCCTGCCAGAGGGAAGGATGGTCCAGAAACACCGCCCCCCTCCACACTGTCTTCACCCCCATGAAGGCCCCAGGACCCTCAGGAGCCGACTTTAYGGGGCTCTGCTTACCCTGKCATTTCCCAGGGCAGGACCCTGTGTCCAGATAGTGTCACGTGGGCCCCGGTCAACAAAACACAGGTGAATCCTGACCAGCGCAGAGAAGTGTGGGGAAACTGCCTCGCCCAGCCACACCCTCACCCCACAAGCCCGCCCAGCTGAGGCACCCCAAAGATCCCGAACAGCCTGCAAAYCACTGCCCTAACCCTGGGCTCCCTGACAAGATGGCTCCCAACCTGCCCGCGTGAAATGAAAGCGCCATTCGCCCACCAGGGGGCGACATACCAGAGCCTTGGTTGGAGCCTAAGAGAATGGAGGAGGGCGTCTCTCTGGAGCCAGAAAGGTCGAGGGTCTAGAAATACAAAGAAAGATGGACTCAGGGCACTGGGGCCAACGGAGCCCCCCAGGGAAACCCAGGGAGTCCTGGGAGTGCTCACCGCTCCCCCAGG